CGGGAAAACAGAAATAGAACAGGAGCTTGGTGAAAGATGGGAGGAAGCACACAGGGTGGGGCAGGGGGAATAGGTGGGGGGTGGGGAGCACAAGCTTGAGATGACGCGGGCTGGGTGGTGTTGCAAGATCTGCCCATGTGCTTGTTTTCACATCTCAGAAAAGCCCCTCTGACACCCACATCTCAAAGTTCTGCCTCCAGCTTTTGCTCTTGTTCCCTTTCATCACAAGGTCATCCCCTGGTCTGGGCATCTCTGAGTCATGAGCACAAGGCTCTCCATTCCTCTGGTGTGTGTTCCCTCCCTGATTTTCACAAGGCCCCGGCTGTCCTGGGAAAGTAGAAACTAGGACTCAAGCTCCTGGGAACCTGGAACCGTTCTGTCCCAGCACCCACATCATCCACCTAGCTCCTTTCTCCGCCTGTCCCCATGGCCAGTAGCTCCAGCAGAGGAGCAAAGTCAGAGATGTCACTGAAACACCTGCTCGCAAGGAACTCGGAATGGAACGCTGCTCTGAGGCCTGAAGATGTATCTTCTCTCATCCACTCCTGATCCTCAACTCCCTAGACTCCCCAGAGCCCAGGACCACACACAGGCCCCATCTGGAGCCTTCTGACCCAGGCTAGAGCCAGTTGCTGAACAAGCAGTTCAGGGCGTCATCTCCCCCATGCCATGTCAGCCTCAGCCTTGTCTCAAGTAGAGGAGGAGGGAACATTACCAGTGCTATACAAAGAGCTACCCCTTAGGCTGCAGGGGCTTGGGAGCCCCTACCTAGAGGGGATTGGGGAGAAAAATGAGAAGACCCAAACCTGTAGTCAATACCTTGAAAGAGTTTCCAGAGATCAACCACTGGACTTGTCCCCCAGGCAAGGGCAAGTAGGTTATCAGCAGCTGGAATCACATGTCCCACCAGCCCACAGATGTCAGTTACAAAACCTCCCAGTCCCATGGGGCCTTTCCTAGCTTTCCTTAGCTCCTAGAGGAGGCACCATGCCTAGGAATACCTTCAGTGATCTTCCAAGTCCCATTTCTGACTCCCAGGACCTCCCAAGTCTTCTCATTGGAGCAAGGGGAACCTTGAAGCAAAAATAGGAGCGCTCACCAGTCCTATGTACTACTGAATTACTCCCCTGAAAGCACTCAAACTCCCATAAAGCAGGCCACAAGGTATGCTTTAGAGAAACAGACGAGGGCAACTGCTTCTTGCTCTCTCCTTCATCATTCTGGAAAGGTGACAAGTGTGGGAGCATCTTGCAGGTTCCTAAATGACTTCTACCCAACCTCCCAATCACAAGATAGAACCCAAGAATTCCTGCTTCCCTGGCTGAGTTCAGAGATGATATAGAAGACATGTAGGCCCCACTACATGTATTATTTATCCTCATATATAGCCTAGGACCGTGGTCGGTACACTGCGGCTCGCGAGCCACATGCGGCTCTTTGGCCCCTTGAGTGTGGCTTTTCCTAATCCTTAGGAGTACCCTAATTAAGTTAATAACAATGTACCTACCTATATAGTTTAAGTTTAAAAAATTCGGCTCTCAAAAGAAATTTCAGTCGTTGTACTGTTGATATTTGGCTCTGTTGACTAATGAGTTTGCCGACCACTGGCCTAGGAGATAGTTACTAGCAAGGGGGTAAATATCAAATTTGGATATAAGTATGGCTGATTCAAAGATCAAATTCAAACACAAAAAACTTCCTCACTCGCCGAAACCGGTTTGGCTCAGTGGATGGAGCATCGGCCTGCGGACTGAGAGGTCCCAGGTTCGATTCCGGTCAAGGGCATGTACCTGGGTTGCGGGCACATCCCCAGTGGGGGATGTGCAGGAGGCAGATGATCGATGTTTCTCTCTCATTGATGTTTCTAACTCTCTCTCTCCCTTCCTCTCTGTAAAAAATCAATAAAATATATTAAAAAAAACAACAACAAAAAAAAACTTCCTCACTCCATTACACAAACTACCTCCCCAGATGGGAAAAGTGGTTAACTCACCTGGATTTAGGTTCACTTCTGCCAACACAGGGTAGAGCAAGTGATTCCCAAACCTGGCCTTACTTTCAGAGATTCCAACTTATTTGGTTTGGGCTGGCCTTTGTATCTATCTATCTACATTGTGTGTGTGTGTGCGTGTGCATCTGTAATTAGGAACCAAGGTATGGGGACCACAGAATCATCTGGTACAAAATATTCAGAAGCTAGGGGTCCAGAAAATCCAGGGCTCAGCTATGGGCTTTACCATGTACTTGTGGTGTGACCCTTACTCTTCCTGGATTTCTCACTACAAAAACTGGAATATCTGCTCCATCAATCCCTTCTAACATGGGATACTTGCAGGGACAAAGGATATAGACATACTTGAGCAAGTGGGGATGACAAGCAAAAGATGAGTTTGAGGGATTTTCATTCTACTTGCCAAAATTTACATTCTGAAATAAAAATGGTTTGGCTAGTTTGCAAGGAAAGTAGAGGCATATTAAAATACTCAAAAACTCTCACTAATACCCAGTGTTTTAGCAGTTAGCCATGCCCATTCAGCCCCACCAATATGAAAAGGTTTTCTTTATTAGAAATCTCTTTATTGAAGGTATTTGGGACCACCGAATACAGGTTAGCAATGTAGTTTGAATAGCCTGTAAAAAAACATCTCATTATAAAGACTACTTAACTGGGGATCTGAAAACTTGCATTTTAATTCATTCTCCTAAACTGTGTGACTGTGGCCAATCACTTCCTTTCCAGGTTTGCTTCCTTATCTGTAAAGAGAACTAGATTAAATCAGGAATTCAAAGCTTTATGAAGCCCCTCGGTGGTCTTTGTGAACCACTTGGGCTTATTTTCAAAATTCTCCTTGAGTTTGTGTGTGTGAACTTTTTTTGATGAGGGGACTAAAATTTCATCTGATTCATAACTTATGACTAAATAAGAACTACTTGGCTACCAGGACTTCAGCTCTCATATTCTATTCACTACTCCACAACAACTCCAGAAGCAAAATTTAGAACCTGAGGTATATATACCAGTAAATCATTTAATCTGGAGCCCTAGGGCAAGATCATGACCCTGCTTTCTCCCATGATCCGGTTTTATTTTTGTGATGCTCTGAAGTGCTTTGCTTCTAGTCAGCAGTTTAGATCAAAGCATCCCAAGGGCCTATGATCTGACCTCCTAGAGCTGTGAATCACTCCCAACTCGGAGTCACAAAGCCTTGAGACCAAATTGGGTGCACTGGGACCCTAAAGGCCAATGCCAAGAGGGCCTCGGATCCTGCCACAACCCCACCTACTCCCACTTGGTAAGTTTCTCCCCTCTCCCCCTATACGTCTTCCCCCCGGTCTGAAGTTCCTCCCTTGGGGATTCGCTGCTTTGGTTTTGCCAAGCCTGAACACCGTGCAACCCAACTCCTTCGGGAAGAGGCATGACATTCTGATTTTAATGAACTAAAACTAGGAATGGTGGGAGGGCAGGGAAATGACTGGAAGGTGAAGTGAGAAGGCTCCTGAGCTTTGCTCAGGGCATGAGCAGGAGGACAGACTGGGAACCAACTTCAAGGGCACAGGAGTCCAAAGGGCTGTTTACACGCTGTGCCCTGCACCTCAAACAAGACCTCTTCCGGGGAACAGAACCGGACCACGGCTCAAATTCCACCCGAAGGCAGGGGTGCGAAGGGGGCGCCCTATACCACCCCTCGTCCCAATTCCGCTGTGGCTCTGCGGTCAGGCCTGGCAGCCCCCGGCCCCCGGGGCCCTCGGTCTCCCGGCCACTGGCCCGCCCAGGGCCGGCTTCTCCGTCGGCCGAGGCAAACCCGAGCTCAGGGCTCTCTTTACCAACACAAGGTCTTCAGGCCCTTTCTGCCGCGCGAGGTCGCGCTGCATGCCCACGCTCCTCTGCCCCGACCGGGTCGCGAGTCTCCTCCAAGCATTCCCTCCCGAGCCCTCCTTTAGCAAGATGGTGGCGAGTGCACTTCCGGCGAGTGTCCTCCAGGGCGCGTCCGGGCGGCTGCTGCAGGTGCCGCCCAGCGGGTTCCACCCTCTTTGCTGCTTAGATGATAACGGTGATGGCGGGCGGACTGTTTTGCTGGAGCCAAGCAGCTCTTCTCCAGCTCCTTCTTGGCGTGAACCTGATGGTGATGCCTCCCATCCAGGCCCGGACTCTGCGCTTCGTTACCTTGGTAATGAGAGACGGGGTCGCCCAAGGGTCGCCAGAGCTCGAAGGGCACGGGCTCGCTGGTGGAGGGAGGGGCGGGGTTTGTGGTGGGGGTGTGGGGGCTGGAGGAGGAGCTGGATTAGGAGACTACTGGCCTGCGGTTTGGGGGGCTCAGGGTTGGGGACCGGGTTCGGAGGTGATGTGGAGCCGCGGTGGGTGGGGGTGGGTGAGCTGCAAGGAGTTCTATATCAGGGGATAGGTCGGGTGAATCTGCCCTGAGAAGGATGTAAATGGGTAAGAGACCCATCCCCCTACAGAAATCTTTGGTGATCTTTCCAGTCCTCCGCCCTCTGCCTTGCTTTTATTTCTCTTTTCCTTACCATCTGTACCTTTGGCTTTGCCTATGACCTCCGTGGTCATTGCTTAGCCATGTTAGACTTTCTGGAAGTTGGAAGAAGTTACTGACTTTTGAATTGGGGTCTTTTGCAATGGGTAGAGTTAAGGCTTCCCAGAGGGATTGAGACTTCCCTCTCCATCATGGGGCAGAGGTGGGCTCTGGGTCCCCATCAGGGAGACCCTTGTGACCCCTAGGCAAACCATTTTCTTTTGTCAGCTGTACCGACATGGAGACCGGACACCAGTGAAGACATTTCCCAAGGACCCCTATCAGGAAGATGAATGGCCTCAAGGGTTTGGTCAGCTCACTAAGGTGGGTCAGAAGCCAGTCCTTCCTCAGTATGAGCTGCACAATGAGTGACCTCTAGAGCAGGCTACAGAACTAGGGCCCAACAAACTGCCATGTCCATTGTGGGTGCTGACTTTGACTAGATTTCTTGCCAAAGACAATGCCACACACAACACACTACTTAATAAATAACTTCTGGGATCCCATTAACACACTCCTACTTCCAGCCAGGGGTAAACTGAAAAGCAAAAGTGCCTAAACCCTGTGGGATTTGTGAGCCATCCCTAATCCTTGGGTTTGCCCATAGGAGGGGATGCTACAGCACTGGGAGCTGGGCCAGGCCCTGCGGCAGCGCTACCGTGGCTTTCTCAACACTTCTTACCACCCACAAGAGGTAAGGCTGGGAGCTCAAGATGCAAGGAGAATGGGATCTGCTGTCCTCACGCTCTGTCCTCAGGGAGCCTAAGGGTGAAGCTGGGCACTGCCCCCCCCCCCATGCATTTTTGGTTACAACTACAGGGCAAGACATCCAAGGGCTGTCTAGAACAAAATCACTATGCTTTAATTATGTTCAATTGTAACAATGAAAATACATCCTGCATATCAGATATTTACATGACGATTCATAACAGTAGCAAAATGACAGTGATGAAGTAGCCACGAAAATAATTTTGTGGTTGGGGGTCACCACAACATGGGGAACTGTATTAAAGGGTCGCGGCCGTAGGAAGGTTGAGAACCACTGCCCTAGAGACTGAGTTGCCCCTGCTTGGGTGGGAAGAGGCAACATTTATCAAGCATCCAAGTTCAGACTGAAGGAAGGGTCTGGCAGAGTAGTGTCTGGCTCTGTGAAATAACTCAGGTTTTCCATTCAAGACACATATTGAGTACCTACAATGGGCTAGCATTTTGCTCATAATGGTATACTACCCACATATGATCTTTGTCTTTGGGGAACTTAGAGTGGAAGATTGGCAAGTTTTTTGTAGCTGTTCCTTTGGTTACTACTCTCAGCCACAGCTCTCTCAAGTCCCTAGATGTTATTGTTCCCTTGAGGGCCAGCTCTGTCTTGATCTTTCCTATCCCCACAGCTTTCTCCTTTTCCCACAAGCAATTATCTGTTCCTTGTCTTATTTCCTGTCCCTGGCCTCCAAGCCAGTTTATAAAAGGGGGTTTGAATGGAGATAGTTTCCACCCTCAAGGATCCTGGCCTAAATAGGGAGACAGGATAAAACTAGACAGACAGACAAACCAGACAGCCTTACTGACTAAGCACTTCGGACTGGGAGGGGCATCTGAACTAGAGCCATTCCCATAGGAGCCATTCTCAGAGTAGGGATAGCTAGCCCCCAGCTGAGTGTTTGGACCTTTGCTGGGAGAAGAATGGGGAAGGCCAGAGAGGGTGCAAGGGCCAGATGCATGGTGGGATTACAGTCTGTTCAGTAACCATCAAGAACAGGTTCTCCCCTTAGGACCCCACTGAGGAGCCAAAGCTCCTCACCCCACCCCCACAAGAAGAGACTCATGTTGTCATCTCTGCAGGTTTATGTGCGAAGCACTGACTTTGACCGTACTCTCATGAGTGCTGAGGCCAACCTGGCTGGACTTTTCCCTCCCGATGGGATGCAGCGTTTCAACCCAAACATCTCTTGGCAGCCTATTCCCGTCCACACTGTGCCCATTGCTGAGGACAGGGTAAGACTGGCCAGCCCTTCACTGCAGGCCGTGAGCGGGGCAGCTCTGGCCATGGGCCTGCTGACCACTGATTCCCTCTCTGCCTCTGCTTCTCCCTTTTGGTCTGCAGCTGCTGAAGTTCCCATTGGGCCCATGTCCCCGTTACGAGCAGCTGCAGAACGAGACCCGGCAGACACCAGAGTATCAGAATGAGAGTATTCAGAATGCAGTGAGTGGGGCTGAGGTGGAGGTCATCATACTGCCCTTTATCCCAGGGCAGGATTGACCCCCTGATCTATTTCTCGTAGCAATTTCTGGATATGGTGGCCAACGAGACAGGACTTACGGACTTGACACTGGAGAGCATCTGGAATGTCTATGACACACTCTTCTGTGAGGTGAGCCTGCTTAGGGTCCCCAGTGTGACCCTTTCCTCTGACACTCACAGGCTCAGGTGACCCGAACACGGAGAGCACAATGCCTGCTACCATTCCCACTGGGGAGGTCCAGCCCAGCCGCCTGCTTCTTGTGAAACAAGGGAACTTCCTTCAAGGGTGAAAAAGAACCCCAGAGTGGGAAATAGCTTATTAATTGTCAGCAGTTCCTGCCCTTCTCCACCCAGAGCGCTGGTGGTATCTGGCTCCATTCTGCTGAGTCACGTTTTCTGTGCCTGAGCCTCCTTCCCTGTGCCCTGCAGCCTCAACACTGTCCGCCATGTCCCTGGTTCCAGTCCCTCTGCCTCACCTCTCCTCTCCTCTCCCTCCCCTCTCACACACACACAGGCACCTTCTCACTGGGGAAGAGAGATGCCCCGGGAGAGGCTCTGGCCTAGGCCGGGGAGCTAACCTGCCCGCTGCCATACGCAGAAAACACATGGGCTGGTCCTGCCGCCCTGGGCCTCACCCCAAACCATGCAGCGTCTGAGCCGGCTGAAGGACTTCAGCTTCCGCTTCCTCTTCGGGATCTACGAGCAGGCAGAGAAGGCCCGGCTTCAGGGGGGTGAGTGACAAAAGCAGCATGTCACTCCCTTCCTCAGGACCCTACAGCATTAAAAGCCTGCTCTTGGGGGCTTCTCACACACTTCTCCACCCGAAATGTTCTCCGCTCTTTCAAAACCCCTCGGATCCCCCTCGTCGTCCCGTTTGTCACCGAAGTCTCCCTAATTCGCCAAAGGCTTCGCACATTTGCACTGAACCAATGACCACAATCAGGCCCCCATGCTTCTTTCCTGCCATTCATATTCTTACGTTTCACTCATGTCAGAAGACCCTTCCCACTTAAAGGAATTCCCACCTCCAGAGAGCCATGGGGGCCACTCTGAAAGGAGGCCAAGAGGAACGCCAAGGAGCACCCACTGGAGAGCTGTCGTCAAGCCTTTCTGGCATCTCAGGGTTTTCCGAGCCTGCATATGGCAGAGTTCCCTCAGCCTGGAGCCACTGCCGTGGGTGTCCTGAAGCAGTCTTAAGTTTATATTTGTTCTGACGTGGAGGGCTTCTTCAAACATGGGCAGGGCCTTATAGCTCCTGTTTATCTTGCTTCCCTCTGTGCACTTGAAAGGAAAGTTGCCAGGTCAAACAAGACCTCTTCCCGGGAAGAGGGGGCTGCGGTCAGGGCATCCTTTGTGGTTCACAAGCACCTAAAGAGTTCTCTGTGTCAGTGATCAGACCCAAGAGTAGCAGAGGGTGACAGGACCACAGATAGAACTGATCAGAAGAAGTGATGGCTGTAGCCACTGACATGGGGATTTTTCTCCTTCAGGAGTCCTGCTAGCTCAGATACGGAAGAACCTGACACTGATGGCAACCTCCTCCTCCCACCTCCCGAAGCTGCTGGTTTACTCCGCGGTGAGCTCCCTTAGTGTCCAGCATGCTAATGTCAAACAAGGAGCTGGATTTCTTCTCTATTCGGTGCTGGGGAGGGGGATGCAGGGGAGCATGCTAATCAGGAGCCCTTCTCCCTTACAGCATGATACCACCCTGGTTGCTCTGCAAATGGCATTGTATGTCTACAATGGTGAACAAGCCCCCTACGCCTCCTGCCATATATTTGAACTGTACCAGGAAGACAATGGGTGAGTGGAGCTACTAGTCTGCCCTCTGGAAGGGCACTCGCATGGTGGCTATGGGCACCCTAAGGACTCCGTAACAGGCCTGGTGGGCAGCTTCCACCTTGTCTCCCATCATCCCTCAGGAATTTCTCAGTGGAGATGTACTTTCGGAATGAGAGTAACAAGGCCCCCTGGCCACTGAGCCTGCCTGGCTGCCCTCACCGCTGCCCACTGCAGGACTTCCTGCGTCTCACCGAGCCTGTTGTGCCCAAGGACTGGCAGCAGGAGTGCCAGCTGGCAAGTGGTCCTGCAGACACAGGTGAGCTGCTGCCTGCCTCTGTGCTAGGCATGTCCCAGAACAACTTGCAGTTCATATCCCCAAGTCTCGAGAGAGCGCTCATGCTTCCAGCCATCTCATTGCATTTCCTTAGACAGTTTATTACCCACCCTGAGACCGTTTCACCTATTCCCTAACACGCTCAGGGGATGCGCTCACTTCTTGTAGCACTGAGAAAATAAAAGCCATCAGGAGAGAATCGTTCCATTTTCCCACCACCACGTCTTCCAGCTACTCACTGGTGCAAGCTGCTACTTAAGTCCCTGCCTCTCCAATTATACTCTGGGCTCATCTGTTCTCCACAAGAACCTCTGATGTTTCCTCTCTGCTGGATCAGTCCCATCTCACAAGCCTATTTAATAAAAACCTCTCAGACCCCCATCTTTCTCTGTTCCCTGTTAGAGCGCAATCCTTCAGAGTTGCCTAGATTCTGCTTTCGCTTCCTCACTGTCCATTCTCTCAGGCGCCCACTGGACAGTCTGGTGTCTCCTTTCACTCCATTAACTTTTGTTAAAGGCCCAGTGACCTCTTACCAAAACCAGTGACCAGTTCTTAGCTTCTCTCGCCTCTCGGCAGCTTTATATAACTGGCCACCCCTTCCTCAAACACTCCCTTCGCTTCTCTGCTTTTTCTCCTAACTTATAGGCACCTTCCTTACTGGCTCTTTCTTGGCCCTTTTCTCATCTCCGCCCACTCCCAAGGTGATCTCATCCAACCTCATGGTCAGAAGTACCAATGTTAAGTTCTGTCTTTTTGTGATCTGCAGATTCATAGCCTCTTCTCTGAGCTAGGCTGACATATCCAGCCAGCTGCAGACTTGAGGTCTCTACATGGATGTGGCATCTCAAAATCGATATCTGAAACCAAATGCTCTTCCTCCCCCCGAAGTTTGTTCTCCCCACAGGCTTCCCCATCTAAGTAAATGACACACCAGTTACCTAGTCACACAGTATAATCATAGGATTTATCCTGAATACTCTTTCTTAGACGCCACAACCAATCCACTAGGAGATTCTAGCATGCCAACCTTTAAAATACATGTTCTTACTTTTAATAGTATTAATTCACTGTCTGACTTCTCTTTGTCCATTGCATTTACTTCTAAAGTGCAGACCGTAAGGTCCACTTGAATTTGACTCTGGCTCTCTGTAGCAGACGGTCAGCAATTTTCCACCCAGTCAGACCTAGCACTTTTGTGTCTGTAGAGCTGTCTTGTGGATCTGAAGCTTTTCACATTATGGGGGAAGGCAGCATGACTCCATGGCTAGAAATCTGGGTAGCATAACTTTGTGGCTAAGAGCACAGATGTTGTCAGACCTTGTTTTGACTCTTGCCTGCCTTTTTATCATCAGACTTTTGGCAGATTGTTCAACCTCTTTCAGAACTTTCATTTCCTAAATTACAATAAAAAGTCTACCTTGATCTAAACACACACAAAACATGCTCTTGCTCCCTAATCCAATCTACCATCATCTCTTGCCTGAACTACTGATGAGCTTCTTAACATTCTGAGTCTCTTCTTGTCCCTACCAGTCTCTCAGCGCAGCAGAGTTAAATTTCTTAAAAAAGTAAGTTAGGCCCTAGTTGGTTTGGCTCAGTGGATAGCACGTCAGACTGTGGACTAAAGGGTCCCGGGTTCAATTCCTGTCAAGGGCACATGCCCAAGTTGTGGGCTCGATCCCCAGTAGGGGGTGTGCAGGAGGCAGCTAGTCAATGATGCTCTCTCATCATTGATGTTTCTATCTCTTCCTCTCCCTTCCTCTCTGAAATCAATAAAAATATATTATAAAAAAAAAGAGTTAAGTTGGGCCATAGCTAGTTTGGCTCAGTGGATAGTGCGTTGGCCCTCAGACTAAAAGGTCCTGGGTTCAATTCCAGTCAGGGGCACTTTGGTCTCTCTCACATGGATGTTTCTCTCTTTTCCACTTTCTTTAAAAAACAATGGAAAAATAACCTTGGGTGAGGACTAATAACAACAAAAAAGTCAGTCAGTTCACATTGCTACCCTTCTCAGATTCTTCCAGTGGGTTCCCATCACATTTGGAATAAAATCCAAGTTCTTTTCCACTTGGCCTGGCCCTCCACTCTCATCTCCTACCTGCCCCCCACTTACTCTGCTCTGGTGATACTTTCTTGAAGATCTAGAACATGCCAAGCTAGTTGCACATCAGGGCCTTTTGTGCTTGCTTACTGTCTACTCTCCGCCCCCAGTAAGGACTCTCTCCTCTCAGATCTCATGTCTCACGGGCTCCAGGTCTCTGTTCAGATTATCCTTGGGGATACCTGTCCTGACTGACCTCTCCATCCTTTCCCCCTTACCTTGCTTTGCTTTATGGCATTTGTCACTAACTGTGGATATCCCCACATTGAGAACAGTTCCTGGCATATGGTAGGCCATCCAATATTTGTTGAATGAACACTGACATGTCCTTTCTCTCCCTGTCCCCGTGCCCAGAGGTGATCGTGGCCTTGGCTGTGTGTGGCTCCATCCTTTTTCTTCTCATAGTGCTGCTACTCACCGTCCTCTTCCGGATGCAGGCGCAGCCTCCCGGCTACCGCCACGTAGCAGACGTGGAAGATCACGCCTGACAACCACTCAGCCCCCTTCCCTCTGCCTCTTAGGGGAGGTGGGCTTGGCCCTCACTCCTGACTGTTGCTGCTCCCAAGCCCATGGGCAGGAGACCCTGGGTTGGGCCTTCCTCTGATTACCCCAACCCAGACAACAAGTGGGACTCGGCTTGGCCCATGGCACCATGTGCCCGATGTTTCCCAAGTACTGTGTTGGATGTTGGCTCTCTCCAAATAGGATTTGCCTCCTCCATGCTCTCGAAGGACCTGATATGTAGACAAGGTTTAAAGTTTCACTCAGGACCTGGGATAAAAAACTGAAGGAGTTGGTGCTTCATCTGCCTTGCCCCCAGTCAAGACCTGCTCTCTCTTCCAGCCCTGAGTCTTTGGCAAATGGCTCAGAAGACACGATTTTGCCCGTCAGTGCTTATTTTACTGGGAAAAACTGCATAACATTGGGACACGAACACCGGCCACCAAGGAACCAAATCACCCAATAGCCAGCCAGTCAAGTTTCCCTTCTCCAGCTGAAGCTACCATGAGTCAGACATACTGCCTCAGGCATCCTGCTTAGCCTGTAGCTTGAGTAGGTCCGAAAGGTGTCTGTACTTGGGAGGGAGTCGAGGGAGGTGGGAGGAGAGTGAGGGGCGGTACAGTCATGAAACTACTACCCCCCTCTGCTGGGCTCGGGTCTCCAGGGATGTGAGGTAAACGCAGGTTGTAAGCTGGACAGCTGTTGACTATGGCCCACAATAGGGCTGAGGTAGCTTGAGAAAAAGGAAAATTTTGGACTCTTAGTGCTGTTTCTGTGCCTGTTCTTCGTACTGGAGACCCAGGAGTGCTTTGACCAGGTCAGCGTTGGAAGAGTCACTCAGAAGCTCATTGGGTATATATAGTTTTATTGGCCATGTCAATAGTGAGCACAAATACAAAACCACCACCTGATCACTCTGCCACCACACGTCAGGGAGGAGAAAAGCCCCTTGGCTCCAGAAGGAGCTTGGTTCCAAGCTCGAAATAGCAGGGAGCCTGGGGAGCTGTGTCGCCAACTCTGGGTAAGTTTCGGAGCTAAGTCCAGAGCAATAACGTAGCCAGTGTCCCAGCCTTACAGCATCCCATGCCACAGCATCCTCGCTCCAGCCCTAAGACTTGGATACCTTGGTCCTTTAACACATAGCTGCCTCTTCTCACAGGACTTGTTCTCATGTGGCTCCAAGTCCTTGCTTGGCCCACACCTTCATTATTGTCTCTCATTTCCATATCCCAGCTTTCTCCTGGCTCCAAATGAGAACGTGATAACCTAGGATGAATAACACCAGTCTGACTCACCTTCTGTTATCTGTCTCTCAGCGCTTGGGGGTGGCCCAGGGAGCCTAGAACTTGGTAAGGAAATACTAGGGAATTGGACAACAGCCAGGCATTACCAAGACCAAGACCAAACAAGGGTAGAGGACCTAGGCCAAATACCTTAGGTGAATGTGGCAGGGCTAAGCTGAGGTTAGCTTGCACTGAACCTTGGGAAGTAGGGTCAGGCTTCAGATAACAACCTACTTCACTCACCCATCAGAGAGGCCAGTGTGTCCCCCATAGGATTGAACTCATTGAGCTGCAGAGACAAGGGGGTAAGCATGAGGAGGGGGTGAAGGTATTACTTCTGGTCATTTTTGGTCAATAAGGGAGGTTGAGTCCCTGCTTCCTCCCATCATTATTTGAGGGCCCAAGTCTCACCGAAATGATACCAGAAGATTCTGAGTCATAGAGCTGATGCATCAACTTCCCTGAGCTTCCATCAAACACATCGATTGTCCTTAATTCATGGGGGAAACAACTTTTGAAATTAGGATCTGGGTATCTGCCCACAACAATGAGGTTGTACCGTGGATGCCAGGATGCCTAGGAGATGGAAAGGCTGGTCATGAGAGTAAATGCAGAATACTATCAAGAGGGTTCATAAGTATTCTTTGCCATTAACAATTGTTAATACAGTTGTCAACGATTTAATAACGGAGATAAGATCTATATAAAACTACAAGAATAGTTTTCAATTGCGTATACATCTACCAATGTAAATTTTAAACTCCAAGCTGGCCCCCCTGGCCCTTAGGACACCTTCAGGCCTTCTCTCCTGCATTTGCTGAGATCATACCAACTGACAAATGTTTTAACATCAACCTGATGCAGACATTAACCAAAGAGTAAGCCTACAACAAAGGAACAAGCTTCTGGTAACCAAAACCAAATTGGACATATGTTCTGAAGTAACCCCACTATTATCTCCTCTATCAACTTCAATGACAAAGAGTTGAGTAGAAAATGCTAGTGTCTGAAAAGAGGAGGAAACCTTTGCTCCCCAGATTATCCCTCTCAAAACAAATCTGACAGTGATTGGAATGACAGATTGGATGGGATTTTCCTAAGAAACTTCTCACAGAAGTTTTGAAGGAGGAAAGACATGGTAAGCAGGAAGGAAGAAGGGGTACATGCAAAGGCTTAGAAATAAGTCACAAACCAGTCACCCCTGGGAAGCTGTAGTGGGCTTCCCTGGATACAAAGTGAAGATGCCAATGGGAACACAAACAGGTGAAGGATCTGATGCCATTAGAACTTGGGTTTGATTTGAGGTGCGTGGGGGCCACTCTAATACTAAATCATCCTTGTGTACTGAGTAGGCATGGTGCCATGTGCTCGAAGTGCACTGACTCAGCTTCACAGCAACCGCGTCAGTTAGAAGCCATTATTCCCTTTATAGACAAGGAAACTGGAATCTAAAATTGAAGTAATTTTCCCAAGATCCTAACCCAGAGGGGTCTGCCTGCCAGAAGCTGGTGCCCCTCACCATTGACCGAAGTACAGGCATGAAACCTGGAGATCTGAAGAGAAACTGCGTAGGGGCTTGGGCAGGAAGGACTCACAGGACTTGAAGACTGTAAGCCATGGGTGCCGAGGCCAGAGAACCGCTAACGAAAAAGCTAAGGGTAGCTTGTAGATCAACCGTACACACGGAACAAACTGATCACAGTGCTTTACTCCCTCACTTACCTTGATGGGTGTCAGGTGCTGGAAGTGGCGGTGAGGATGTGGGATCAGGCTTGGTGGGCTGTCCCACTGGGAGGCAGAGTAAACCCGGATCTCACTCTTCTGGTCGGTGGTCAGGAGCTGGGCTCCATCAGGACTGAAATGAGCTGGCAAGTGACAAGTCCCTGAGCTGAAGGGCCTTCTCTTGCAGGGACCCCTCCCTCCCACTCCCTGACAGACAGGGCTGGAAGGGAGGAGGTGCATCTGGGCTCTGAACAAAAACATTCTAGAACTCAGCAGCTAACGAGGGCAGCTGAAGTCAGAAAGGGTCGCTGTCAGGGGTAAAGGTTTGACCTAGCGGCTTCTAAACTTTGAGGGCAAACCCCAGGCGCGGTGGGGTAGGTAGGGTCTAAGAAGGGATGAGTATATCACACCTGCGTTGACAGGATGACTGTGTGGCAGTGAGTAGAGGAAGCTGGATTTCCCTTTAACCTGGCGCAGGTCCCAGATTTTCACTGTTTGATCTACAGAGGCCGTGGCCAGGAACCAATCACAGCATGGGTTCAGGGCCGTATGGGTCACTTTCTTTTTGTGCAATCTCAGGTTCCAAAGCTGCAGAGAAAATCGGTTCAGGTGGGGGCAGAGACAAAGGAGGGGCAGGGAGGACCAGGCTCCGAGAACGCACCTCCCTGCCGTCCATGTTCAGAAGGATCACGTTCCCCACATTGTCTCCTGTGACCACCACTCGGCTTTTCTCGGACACATCCAGGCTGCAAAACCAGAAGCTGGAGGGAGAGACCTTGCTGTAAGGTTCTTGGGGACAGAGGCAAGGTCCATTTATTTATATTTAAAAAAATTTTTTTTATTGATTTCAGAGAGGAAGGGGGAGGGGTAGGGAGATAGAAGCATCAATCATGAGAGAGAATCACTGATTGGTGAGCCTGCAACCCAGCCACATGCCCTGACTGGGAATCAAACCCGTGACCTTCTGGTTCATAGGTCGACGCTCAACCACTGAGCCATGCCATCCAGGTGCAAGGTCCACTTATTCATGGTGAAGCTCCAGCGTCTAACACATAGATATACTCAATAAATATTTGTTGAATGAATGAATATTATCTTGCCATGGACTTCCAGTGAGGAACGTACTTGTCTACCATCCGGACAGAGGTTATGGAGTTGATGGTGCTCAGAAATCGTCTGATGGGCCCAGGATCCTCAGCTAGTATGAGTTCCTGAAGCAGCCAACCTCAGAGCTATATGACAAGCCCCCGGGTTAGCTTGCCCCACACAGCCCTGGGTTCTGCGGAAGACTCCTTTATGACTCTCTCCCTTTACTCTCCACCTGTTGAGTCAAAGGAGGTGACAAACCAAACGGGCTGCCTAGCTCTGTTCCTCAGAGCTGGCTAGAAGGGAACTTCTGCCCCCTTCTGAGCATTCAGGGGGAAAAGCACACACAACCCAGAAGTTGTCTGGCTCTTGTCCCTCAGACTCCTTGAGGACGAAGGGGATGCGGGAGGGGGGTGCTTCAGGGATCCCGAGAGTCAGGAGAGCTCAGATTCTTGTCTTTTCTATCAAACCCTCAAATCCCTGCTCGGTACCGCCTTTTGCATTCCTGTAAATCTCTTCCAGAGGAAGTTTCTTGTGGAAGAGAAACCTAGAGCTGTTCTAACCTGTCCCGTCCTGATAACTCGTGGACTTCTTACCCCTGTGGGGCGGTCCAGGATCACATCCAGTGCCAGTTAGACCCCCACACCCCCGGTTCTTTAGGGAGCAGGATCATGTCTGGCCAGAAATCAGTGACAAGCTTCTGTAGTTTCTACAACCACTTACTCTTGCAGAGTCCACATGCTTTATGGACATGATTCTATCCATTTAAGTTTCACGGAACTGGTCAGGTCATCACACCCCAGTGGATGTAGGGAATAAAATTTAAGTTCTTATTTCCTGCTCCAGGCTTTAAGTGGCTTATTCTAGGCCAGTGATGGCGAACCTTTTGAGCTCGGCATGTCAGTATTTTGAAAAACCCTAACTTAACTCTGGTGCCGTCTCACATATAGAAATTTTTTGATATTTGCAACCAGAGTAAAACAAAGATTTATATTTTTGATATTTATTTTATATATTTAAATGCCATTTAACAAAGAAAAATCAACCAAAAAAATGAGCTCACGTGTCACCTCTGACACGCGTGTCATAGGTTCGCCATCACTGGTCTAGGCCAATGCCAGTTTGACTTGTCCAGTGAGAATAAAGGTCTCACCTAATACAGGAATGACTTACAGACAACTGAAGCCCTTCCCTTGCGGAGAAGAGTGAGGCTCCAGAACCCGCCAATTAGTAACCCACCTGGACCAGAGTAAGCAGCTAAAGAAAGGGTTTGAGGAAGAGACTGAACGGTGGAGAGTGGCTAACATCTTTTCTTACTTCCCTGTGGTAGAACTGGGACCTGGATGCTCTCACCAGAACCTCACTGAGAGCCTAAAAGCCCTTTCCCCTCGTTGTTAAACTACTCACTTGCAGGTGTCATAGCTGGTGTAAACTTGGAGAGTGTTGCCTTTAAAGTCTTGCAGCCTAGTTGTTCCCTCCATGGAGGAGGTGAAAAACTGGTTGGTATTGAGAGGGTTAAACTTCAGCCCAGTGATGCTGCCTCCAGCTCCAATCTAACACAGGAAGAGAAAAGCCAGTGAGTGATGATGGCCCAGGAGGAGGAGGAGGCCTGGTGCACATACATACTCTGCCCCAGAGAAGTGCCAGGCAGGCGGCACTTGGGGCCAGGCCAGTTTACATGCCCAAACCCTGGGATGCTCTCCACAGTGCTCTTTGTTTCTTGAGGTTTTAGTTTTTGTCACTGGTAAAATATATTGTTATTGATTTCAGAGAGGAAGAGAGGAGAGATAGAAACATCAATGATGAAAGAGAATCAATGATCGGCTGTCTCCTGCACACCCTCTACTGGGGATGGAGCCTGCAACCCGGGCATGTGCTCTTGACCGGAATCAAACCCTGGACCCTTCAGTCCACTGAGCCAAATCAGCTAGGGCAAGTTTTCATTCTTTTTTTAAATTAACCTACAGTAAATTTGGTTGTTTTGGGTATGCAGTTGCATGAATTTTAACACATGTGTAGACGTGAATAACCACTGCCAAAATCAGGATGCAGAACAGTTCCGTTACCCTCCCAACTCCCTCCTGCTCTCCCTTTGTAGAGCTCCCCCTACCTCTAACCCCTGACAAACACTGCTCTGTTCTCTATCACCGGTTTTTGCCTCTGATAGCCTCTCATATAACTGATCATAGAGCCATAACCAGTTTGGCTCAGCGGATGGAGCATCGGCCTGCGGACTGAAGGGTCCCAGGTTTGTTTCTGGTCAAGGGCATGTACCTTGGTTGTGGGCGCATCCCCAGTGGGGGGTGTGCAAGAGGCAGCTGATTGATGTTTCTCTCTCATCGATGTTTCTGGCTTTCAATCTCTCTCCCTTCCTCTCTGTAAAAAATCAATAAAATATATTAAAAAAAATAATAACTGATCAAAGAGCATGTAGCCTTTTGAGACTAGCTGCTTTCATTGCATCAGTATGATGCGCCTGAGATTCATCCAAATTGCTGTGTGTATCTATAGCTGGTTCTCTTCTTGCTGAGTACTCCATTGTGTGGCTGTACCACAGTTTATCACAGTCTTCTTTTTAGAAGAGTTTCTGCCCAGAAGAGTGGCTGGGTTAGGAGGGCAGGAGACAGATCTGAGCTCCTTCCTATTTTTCCAAACCTTCCAGATAATGATGATGAAAATTATCATGTAAACGTTATTAAGTACTTATTATGCATCAGGCACCGTTTTAAGAATTTTACATCCCCAAGGGTCCCTTCTCCACTTCTTCCTTGTGCTACTGTTTCAGCCCCATGGACCTCTTACACAACCACCACTCCACTCAACGTGCTAACTGTCACTTTCCATTCCCTCTATAAACATTCTGAGGGATGCCCATGGTCTGACAAACCCTTCCTGCTAATAAGATAATCTGCTCCCACCAGTTGAGGCCAGTGCTTACATGGGTTAGTCGTGTTTGTTCTTAAACCTGTATATGACAGTTTTACTTTTTATTATAATCATATAATGCAATTAAACAAATAATTTAATCACACAATTTATTAAACATTTAATTAAATATTTAAACTAAACATTTAAACATTCAATTAAACATGTAATTTAATTAAACTGATGAAGTACATGCAAAAAGAAAGACCATTGTTATTTCCATGAAATTATATTGAATGCTTTGGAAGAATTAGATAAAAATGAATTGCTAAAAATAGTAGTTGTAAAATTAAGCATGGGTGAGAAAGTTATAAACAATTAGGGTGGGAAATAATATAAATTTCAAAAGAATCTGCAATCAGGTTGCTTCAGGACTATCTTTAAATTATGTTTCCACTTTAGACCATATAAAAAATACATTATGTGCGCAGTTTATATAAGACCAGGTACACCCTAATCAATGACCCTTACTCCTGGAAAAGAACAGGCCCTATGTCAAGCAATAGTAATAAACACACATACACATTTTAAATTAAAATGCATGAGTGTTCTCCTAGCAAGTGTGGACTAAGTAGTTTGACTAATTTTTACACTGAGGAAGACTAATAAAACATGGACAAAATATGAAAAAGAAATAATATTTGAGACTCAACTCCAGTGATGGTGGGTTAGCCTGTATCTGGCCAACCTTCTTCTGAGAACAACTAGAAAAGGTAGATAAAACATGTATTTAAAGAATGTAAAATGATGCAGCCACTTGAGAAAATAGTCTAACAGTTCTTCAAAAATTAGCCCGGCCATGGCTCAGTGGTTGAGCATCGACCTATGAACCAGGAGGTCATGGTTTAATTCCAGTCAGGGCACCTGCCCAGGCTGTGGGTTCAGTCTCCAGTGGGGGATGTGCAGGAGGCAGCCGATCAATGATTCTCTCTTATCACTGATGTTTCTCTCTGTCTCCCTCTCCCTTCCTCTCTGAAATCAGTAAAAATATATTTTTAAAAAACCACTAAACATAGTTACCATATGACCCAGCAATTCCACATCTAGATATACATCCAAGATACATGTATACATATGTTCATGTAAAAGCTCGTACACAAATATTCATAGCAGCATTATTTGTAATAAAAGAAAGGCGATAAATCAACAACTCAAACATCCATCTCAAGAAGTTGTAAAACTAATAAGAAACTAAAGCCAAAGAAAGTAGAAAAAAAAACCACACAGAATGAAACAAAACAAATATATTGTGGGGAAAGTCAACACAGCCAAAAGTTGGTTCCATAAAAAGACCAATAAAATTGATACACCACTGGTAAAACTGACCAAACAAATGAGAAAGCACAAGTAATTTAATAAATGGAAAAAGGGACATCACTATAAATTTTAGATACTTTAAAAGGTAAGAGGATCATAAACAATCTGCATGGTGTCTCATTCATCCTCAAATACTTTACTATAGACAAGGTAAGGCAAAAGTAGGTTTACAGTTGTTTGTATGGGAAATAATACAATAATTAAGAAATAATAATGCAAGAATAAACTCTGTTTTGCATACTCACTGTACACCTACTTTTGCCACACTCTGTATTTCCCACAAGAACATTCTCCTACATAACCGCAATAAGACCATCAAAACTTAGAGGTATCTTAAGTAGTTCAAACTCATAGAAACAGAAAGAATTGCGGTTGCCAAGTGCCGGGGAGCAGGGGAAGTGGGAAATGGTTATTAAATGAGTATACAGTTTCAGTTTTACAAGACAAAAAGTTCTAGAGATTTCTTGCACAATAATGTCAATATAGTTAACACTACTGAACTGTATACTTAAAAATGATTCATATGATAAATTTTAGGTTATGTGCTTTTACCACAGTTTTTAAAAGGAGCAGTATTACTTGTTAGAGATATAATTGTAATTGTAAAAAAGTAAAAAATTAAAAAAAATTTAAGTGAAAAAAGAGAATCTATGATAATAAAAGTGTAATATGCTAATTACACTGGACGCCCTTCCAGATGTCCTTCTGGACAACCTTCAGGACAAAGCCGAGACTGCGAGGGAAGCCCGGGTCCCAGGTGCCAGAGGGAAGCCGGTGCCAGCAGCTAGGGCAAGGAAGGCCTACTCTTCACAAATTTCATGCATCGGGCCTCTAGTATAACTAATAAATCAAAACAAACAAACGAACAAAATACCAATTAGTATAATTTACTACATTAACAGAATAAAGGGGAAAAATCATATGCTTACTGACTTCAATAGATACAGAAAAGCATCTGATGAAATTCAATTATCATTCATAATAAGAACTTTTGGCAAACTAGGAATAAAAAAGGAACTTAATATGATAAAGGGTATTTAAAAAACAAACAAGCTCCTAGGTATATATCCAAAAGAACTGAAAACATGTTCAAACAAAAACACAGGAACATTCAAAAGGTAGTAAAAAAAGTAGCAAAAGGTGGGTACAACCCAAATGTCCATCAACAGATGAATGGGAAAATAAAATGCGGTATATCTACATGATGGAATAATACTCAGCTATAAAAAGACATGAATATAGCATAGAGGAACCTTGAAAACATTATGCTAAGTGAAGCCAGACCCAAAGAACAAATATTGTATGACACCATTTATATGAGGTACCTAGAATAGTCAAACTCATAGAGTCAGGAAGCAGATTAGTGGGCTGGGGAAAGGGTAATAGAAAGTCATTGTTTAATAAGTACAGGGTTTAATTTTGGAATGATGAAAAAGTTCTGGAAATGAATAGTGGTGATGATTGCACAACAATGTAAAAGTACTTGATATACACTTACAAGGTTTAAAATGATAAATTTTATGTTATGTATATTTTACCACAATAAAAAGTAGCAGAAATTATATGTAATGATAAAATATAAAAGCCTTCTATGATCAAGAACAAGACAAAGATAAAAGCCTCAAGACAAAGCACCCAATGCACACTCTCCCTCTGGGGAGCAGCACGTGCCATTCCCTTCCCCCTCTTCTTCTTCCTCAGGCATGTCTCTCCTACCCTCTAAGGGTCGCCAAAAGACTTGCAACCAGGGGAGCAATGGGCAGCAGCAGCTTGTCCCAGGCTAATCCCCTGAACCTGTACCAAGGCCCCGTTTTCTCTGACTTCCCAGTGAGGCAAGGCAGCCCAGTTTCTTCTATGCTAAGTCCTTCCTGTTTTACTATCTCCAGCTTTAATAAATGTACCCTCATAGTAAAAAAACACACAAAAAACAAGACAAAGATGTCTGCTATCGCCAATATTCAACAATGTATTACATGTCTTTATCAATGGAATTAGGCAACAAAAGAAGTATAACAATGGTAAAAGAAAAAAAAATCAAACTCGTTATTTGTAGATGACAAGATTATGTAAGAAAAATTTTTCAAGCCTTAAATAAACTATGTATTAAAACTAAACGTAGATTTATGCTTCCAATCATGAACAGCACATTGGTGACATGTAAGACAATACTAGTAGCCTAACATATATGTAATTGGAGTTCTAGAAAAAAAAAGAGGGAGGAGGAAAAAATTCTTTGAAGAAATAGTGGTCTAACATTTTCCAAATTTGATGGCAGTTATAAACTAACAGATCCAAGAAGCTCAGTGAACCACAAGCAAAAGAAACATAGAAAAAGACACTAAGAAAATCATCACCATTTTTAAAGCAGCCAGAAAAGGGAAAACTTATGAAAAGAGAAACATAAGAATGAAAACAGACTTTGCAGCAGACATCATTTAAAGTCTAAAAAAAAAAAGGCCCCCAAAACCTATGAACCTAGAACTCTATACCCAGCAAAAATATCTGCCCCGCCAAAAGAAAAATACTGACTTTTTAAGATAAACAAAAGAAAAAAAAATGCATCACCAACCAACCTACAATATAAGAAATGTTAAAGGCAGAAGGAAATGTTACCAAAAGGCCATCTGGATCACACAATGGGATGAAAAGCACTGGAAATGGCAAATATGTGGGGTTTTATTAGGTTTCTTTTCTTGTTTTAAAACTATCTTTAAAAGCTATCTACTCTATAACCGAACCACAAATAGGCATTTACTTTCGAAAAAGAAAAATATATATCCACCCAAAGATTTGTACTTGAATGTTCATAGCAGCTTTTTTATTTTTGCAACTATTAATAACTGGAAAAAATTCAAATATCCTTCAGCAGGTAAATTAATAAATAAATTGTGATATATTAATACACTGAAATACTACTCAGAAAGAAAAAAAACTATTGATACCCACAAAAATGTAAATGAATCTTGAATAATTATACTAAGTGAAAAAGCCATGCCTAGCCAGCCGCCGTGGCTCAGTGGTTGAGCATCAACATGTGAACCAGGAGGTCATGGTTGATTCCTAGTCAGGGCACGTGCCTGGGTTGCAGGCTTGATCCCCAGTGTAGGGCATTCGGAGGCAGCTGATCAATGATTCTATCTTGTCATTTATATTTATATTTCTCTCTTCCTCTTCCTTCCTCTCTGAAAATAAATAAATAAATAAATAAATAAATAAATAAATAAATAACATTAAAAAAAAGAAGCCAATAGAAAGAATATATATTGTATAATGCCATTAATATAAAAGTCTAGAAAATGCAAATTAATCAATAGGGATAGAAAGTAGATCAATGGTTTTTAGGGGACAGGACAGAAGGAAGAAAGATTACAAAAGGGGCTTAAGAAAATTTTAGGAGTTTGGCTGGTGTGGTTCAGTGGTGGAGAATGGCTCTATGAACCAGTTCAATTCCTGGTCAGGACATTTGCCCAGGTTTCAGGCTTGATCCCCAGTGAGGGGTGTGCAGGAGGCAGCTGATCCATGATTCTCTCTCATCACTGATGTTTTTCCCTCTCCATCTCGAAATCAATAAAAATATATTTTAAAAAAAGAAAACTTTAAGAGTGATGGATATGCAACAATGTAAGTAGAGATATGAGTGTGTGAATAGTGTATACTTACATAGAAAGGTGTACAAAGTGGGAATTTCAGGTAATAATTACCTGATTCTTTAAACTTTCCTCTGTGTTGTTTGAATTTCTTATGATGAACATAAATCATTTTTATAATGAGAATAAAATTTATCTTCTTGAAAGTATAATACATGTTCCCCTCCCAAGGGTCTGAAAGATGTAAAGATGGAAGTCAAGGTCAGATGACTAAAGAAGTGACAAAATGAGGCACTACAGTTCCCGCAGTCATTGGTCTCAAATCAACTTTGTTGTCAGTATCTGGGAATAAAAACAGACAGTTTTCCAGACCATCATACCCTTCTGTGCCAACCTGCTAGTCAAAGTTCAAATGTCCAGACCAATCTCCACAATGGTGTGAGGAAACTTCACTTAAGTGCACATTATACTAAAGGGTGGTGTAACCCAAAAGCCTTGGTAAGTTCAAGACAGCTGTCATTCCATTTTGGTTGGGAGGCTCTTCCCCTAGAATACCTTTAGGCTATGTATTAATTTTCTCTATTCCCTGGATTTCTATAAAAATATAAATCTCGCCAAAACCGGTTTGACTCAGTGGATAGAGTGTCGGCCTGTGGACTGAAAGGTCCCAGGTTCGATTCCGGTCAAGGGCATGTACCTGGGTTGCAGGCACATCCCCAGTAGGAGATGTGCAGGAGGCAGCTGATCGATGTTTCTCTCTCATCCATGTTTCTAACTCTCTATCTCTCTCCCTTCCTCTCTGTCAAAAAATCAATAAAATATATTTAAAAATATATATATATAAATCTCTTCCTGCCTGAGCTCTGGTTCTGACTTCAATTTAAAGCTGCCCTTCCCAGTCCTGTCTCACCAGCTGGGCAGGAAGACCACTGAGCACTGTTCACAGCACTCTGCCAGCTGCCTTTCTTCCGGCTTTGGATACTGTTTTCTTCAACATCCATCTCATACCTTGAATCCTAATCTCCCGAGCCTGTCTAACCTGGCTGTTTCCAATGGACTGCTTTAACTCCTCACTTAAGAGAATTCATTCTGGCCGAAACCGGTTTGGCTCAGTGGATAGAGCGTCGGCCTGCGGACTGAAAGGTCCCAGGTTCGATTCCGGTCAAGGACATGTACCTGGATTGCGGGCACATCCCCAGTGGGAGATGTGCAGGAGGCAGCTGATTGATGTTTCTCTCTCATCGATGTCTCTGACTTTCTATCTCTCTCCCTTCCTCTCTGTGAAAAACCAATAAAATATATTTAAAAAAAAAAAAGAAAAGAAAAAAAAAAGAGAATTCATTCTGGATTTATCCTTGGCCTCTTCTATCTCCAAATCAGAGATGGAAAATGGTGAGCTGAAGAGGAATTCAGTTCACAGATGTGTTTTGTTTAGCAATAGAGCATGCTCAATTTTATTTAGTTCCTAACATGAAAAATCAGGATGTTTTAAATTGAAACCCTTTTGTACTATTGGTGGGAATATAAAATGGTGCTGTCACAATTAACAGTATGGCAGTTCCTCAAAAAATTAAACAGAGCTACCATATGATTCAGTAATTCCACTTCTGGGTATACACCCAAAAGAACTGAAAGCAGGGACTCAAAGAGGTATTTGTACACCCCCATGCATAGCTACATTATTTACAATAGCTAAAATGTGGGAGCAATCCCAGTGTCCATTGACAGATGAACAGATGAGCTAAATGTGGTAAACACATACAGTAGCATATTATTCAGCCTTAAAAAGGAAGGAAATTCTGACACATACTACAACATGGACGAACCCTGAGGACAACATGCTAAGTAAACCAGTCACAAAAGGATAAATATTGTATGATTTCACTTATATGACATACTCAGAATAGTCAAAATCATAGAGACAGAAAGTAGAATGCTGGTTGCCGGGGCTGGGGGATAGAAGAATGGAGAGTGTTTAATGGGTATAGAGTTTCAGATTTAAAGATGAAAAGTTCTAGAGAAAGTGAATGTACTTAATGCCACTAAACTGTATATTTAAAAATGGTTAAATGCTAAATATTGTTGTATGTATTTCGCCACAATTTAAAAATATCAGAGCCAAAACCGGTTTGGCTCAGTGGATAGAGCGTCGGCCTACGGACTGAAAGGTCCAAATATATTAAAAAATAATAATAAGAAATAAAAATATCAGAACATTTCATGTAAATAACCAGGACTTCAGGCTCCTGAAAAAAAAATCAGACCTGATAGTATGGGACCTAGATTCTTACATGTCAACCATCTCCAGTTTATCACTGACCCTACCACCGAACATCATTCTTTTTCTTTTTTTAAAAATATATTTTATTGATTTTTTACAGAGCGGAAAGGAGTTAGAAACATCGATGAGAGAGAAACATCAATCAGCTGCCTCCTGCACACCCCCTACTGGGGATGTGCCCGCAACCAAGGTACATGCCCTTGACCGGAATCGAACCTGGGACCCTTCAGTCCTCAGGCCAACGCTCTATCCACTGAGCCAAACCGGTCCCGGCCGAACATCATTCTTTTATCTGTTTAGCTTCTTTAGTCATGGGAGTTTGTGGTTTTCGCTCTCAACCAGAGCATCACTTTTCACAGTGCAGCCCAGAATCCAGCTGGGCAAACTAAGGGTCTTCTCTTTAGTGGAAGGGCCAACACCCTCACCTCTCAGTGACATGATAAATACCAGCATGATTAAGACCATCCCTGAAAAACTCTATCCCAAACCTTGTCCCAAACACACTCTGCCTTTCCTCCTTTCATCTCCATTTATGTAAATATTGTCCTTCCTCGCTCTTCACTCAACCATGAAGCCTTCTCTATAGACCCTAATTTGAAAGAGGTTCTTCCTTCTCTCATGTTCTATAGCATTTAGCGCTGTCATGCTAGTTATTGTGTATGTCTACATCCTATCTACCCAGCTACATGTCAAGTCCCTCATTCATTCAACAAATAGAAAGCCGCTACTCTAGGCCAAACATCATTCTAAGCACTGGGGACAAAGTGGTGGACCAGAAAGACAAGATCCCTGCCATTGTGGAGCTTACTTTCCAGTGGGCAAAGTTAATAAATAGGTAACACATTTCAGATATTAATAAACATTGTGGGGGAAAAGTGAAGCAGGGAGATATGGAGTGGTTGGATGGGATGGAGGCTACTTTAGACAGAGTGGTGAGAACTCTTTGAAGAAGTGTATTGAGCTGAGACCTGAACAATAAGGGAGAACCAGCCAGGAGAAGACCATGAGAAAGAGTACTCCAGCCAATGGGAACAGCAAATGCCAAGACCCAGTTTCAGGAATAGAAATAGCTAGCGTGGCTAAAGTATAGGAAGTGAGGAAATACAGCAGTACAAGATGAGGTCAAGAGTTATTAAGAGGCTTAGATTCTATTCTATGTGATGACTTACTAGAGGGTGATCAGTACTTTATATCTTCTAATATTTTAAGGGCAGGCACTCAAAAAAAAATGTGAGTATCATCATTTACTTGTTTGAAAATACCCACAGTTACTTTTGAACCCAAACATTTCCTTTTTCACTGGTTGACTTTTCATTCCTTCAACACTTCTTCAGCACAGTTATCTGGCATAGGGACTGCTCACCCCTTTAATGAAGGTGGGCTTGTCCTTTATGCCCAAGTTCCAGAGCATGATATCTCCCCCTTTGGAACCCACGGCGAGGGTGCTGGGGTGAGTTGGGTGCCATGTCAAGGATGTGGCCCTCCTGTCAAAAGGGGCAGCCTTTTGGGATATCCGGTAAGAAGCCAGAGAGTGCAAAAAGGACTGCTGGAGATCCTGAGATAGAGAGAAAAGAATTAAGTTGAATTAAAACCCAAGTCTTAGGTAAGCTGCCAATCTCTGCCTTCCTAGGGCCAAGTCCTCCCACCAAAGGAAAACCAACTGTCTGGCTCTGTGCGTGAAAATATTTGAAATATACATGAACTAATCTTGGAAAGCAAGAGGCAGAGCGCATTCCAGCTGGGACCTTTATTGCTGGAATGAGTGCCCACAGGCCAGACACCAAGGTAAGGGTGATATGACCACCTGGTGAACCAACTCAGCATCTAATTTTGAAGCATCCAGTTGTACAAAAGCACCATGCAAACCCTTGTGCACTTCAGCCAGGAAACGCCTCACCTTCTGTAGAGATGGCCAGGCGGTTCTGCCCAGCTTGTGGTGATGAAGGGCCCTGACGATGCTCCTGCATTGTGGTGGGACCTGCAGGCTAGTCAACCTCTCCCTAAGGCAGCCTGAGTCAGATCTTCTGCTACAACCTGCCAAGTAGAACAGAGATATTTTCCCCTCCAATCTTAATGAAGAAAGGTTTTTCTGCTGAAATCCCAGGAAGAAAGCCTTGTTGTTCCATTTTGCATAGCCACTCCCTCCCATCACCTCCGGAGGCCTTTCCATGGTCTGCTCAGTCTCACCCAGTACAAGAAATAAATCGTGAATAGGGATTCGGCCCCTTCCCCAAAATAGTAAATCTGAAATGAAACTAAATGTGATTTTGCCAGGTTTCTGAGAGCTGAGCCAAAGAAACAAGAATAAAGTATATGCAGAACTCTTCCTAGTCTGGTTTGGAAAACTCGTGATAAGGTTGGGTGACAATTTTAAAATCACATATATTGCATAATAAAAAAAAATTATGCAATCATTTTTGTACAGTGAAAGAAGTATCTTTAAACCCTATATTAAAATAATGTAGAGGGAACCAGTTGTTGGCCCAAGTCCAACCTGTTCTGGAAAGCAGCAGAATCTAACGCATCTGACGTGGCTCTAACTAGGCTACTTTGGGAGAGGCAGAGCGCTGAGACCAGGAACAAAGCCACCCGGGATTACCAAGATGTATTTGAGAATCCGATCTCTATGAACCCTGCCCTGTGACAACCAATTCTTTTTTCTCGTGGACAAAAAAAAAAAAAAGCCCACTTCATCAACAACCCCTGCTTCAGTTTTTGAGTTCCCCCACTCTCCTTAGAGCCCAAGGGTCAATCCCCAACCAACCTCACAGAAAGTGCTTTCTAAGGAAATTGAGGGCTCAGCTCGCACAGCTACAGCTAAGGACCCACAGCTACACAGAGCACCAGCGAGGAGGGATTATTTTAAGCAGCCCTCGGTGTGTTAAAAATCCTGGTACAGCCCCAGCCGGTTTGGCTCAGTAGATAGAGCGCCGGCCTGCGGACTCGAGGGTCCCAGGTTTGATTCCGGTCAAGGGCATGTGCCTTGGTTGCGGGCACATTCCCAGTAGGGGGTGTGCAGGAGGCAGCTGATCGATGTTCTAACTCAATAAAGTATATATATATATATTTTTAAATCCTGGTACAAAGAAGGAATTTGAAAAGTCTGTGGTGTCTTATGTAATGGAACTCATCTGCCTCTTTTCGCCACCGGAGGGAGATGAAGCCCAAACTCTATGGTGTGAAAGGCTCTGCAGACGCGCAGCCCTAGGCATCTTGAGATTGGGGCTGCCTCCGCGACCTAGAAGCCCCGTCCCCCGCTCCAGCCTCCTGCCTCCTGCGTGAGCACCCCACGGCGGAACGATTACAGCAGCAGGCGCGCAGTACCGGGGCCCTTCACACAGAGCTTCTTGGCCGCGGGCTCCAGCTCCCGGGGGCTCCTGCTCTTCTTGCTCTTGGGGCACAACACCATCTCGAGGGGCTTCCGGGTCTCTGGGCGTTTCTTGGGGGCCATCGCGTCGTCCGTGAAAAGCGGTACTCTGCCGTACGCAGAGATTATGGAGGGACGATAGAGAAGCCTCTGGGGAGAAAAAGGGTGGGGAGCAGGGAACGGGTCCAACTTCCCGCCAAACAGGCCAACTTCCCGCCAAACAGGTTCCCGGCTTCCCACTACCTACTAGTTCCGGCCCCGCCCCGCTCGGCCTCTCCCGGGAAGGTGGGGGCGCGCGCGGAGAGATGGGAAGTGTGTGAGGAGGCGGGGTCTTGGGCTCCCTAAAGAAACGGGAGGTCGCCTACGTATTGGCTCTGATCTATTCCAGCCCGCGGACTTGCCAGGAATAAAGATGGCCGCCAGGGCTAGGCCACCCGACTTGAAGCCTCTTCGGACGCGACGCTGCCAGGCCTCCGCGGGTCCTCAGGCGACCGCACGTCAATCAAAGAGTAGGCTCCGCCTTCTCTGCCTTTTAATTGGTGGTCACGCCGCTCGGGCTTTGCCATTGGCTGATCCGTACAGAAGAAAGGCGGCTTTGTAGAAAACTAGCGACTTCCCCGCGGTTCAGTGTGGAGTACTTGGATTCCTCCAGCTGAGTGGGATCGGTTTCCCTGTGGAGAGTGGTTGAAATGCGCAGCTTTCCCCAAACCTGCGGAGAGTCCGCCTAGCGAGCAGCTGGGGCAATGATGCGCTGGAAGGCGTGCTGGCCAGCCCGGCTTAGAGGTCTTAATGTCCTGACTTCCGCCAAATGCCAAGGCAGTGAGCCTCAGAGGTGTCCCGCCTGGCCCGAGAGGAGACAGTTTGGATGCACCCCACTTTCTGCGACGAGCCAGGTTGGAGCTGGGGTTAGCCTGGGACTGCTGGACCTTTCCTTCCACCCGCTAAGCCCGGAGCCAGGCGCTTTGGTAAGGTGAGAGGAGACACATGCGTTAACGGTAGAGCCTGCACTGAAGGCCAAGCAGGGATGGAAGACATTTCAAGATATTCCTTTTGGAAAGAAATGAATGCTCCAGAAGAAAAATTCCGAAGTGCTGTTTTGATGGGAAGATAAACCACCAGCAGGGCAAGTTGGCTGCCTCTCCCCTGCTGGCTTGTAGCTGTGTTACAAAAGCAACATGGCCCCCTTTATTCAGACCAGCCTTTAGTTTCACCTCAGTAGGGTGTTCATTTCTGGAGGATATTGAAACATAAGAGATGACTGGGCCCCTACAGGGTTTACAACACACGGAGAAGAGAAGTACTTGTGAAACAAGTAAACAATTCAAGACAAAACACAGTTGAGTACTAAATTGTGGCATGCCAACCAAGACTTTTTAGATCAAAAAATAATCGAATGGAGAAAGAAGTATTTAAGAAAGTCTCACAGGGAAATTGGAATTTCATGGGCTTGGCTGGGGGAAGGAGAAGAGAATCCCCGTGGTAGGCATCCTCTGTTTCAATGAGCAGTGAATTCTGAGTTCAACTGTGTACAGGAGTGACCCTAATGGTGTTTGGCTTGAGGGCATTGGTATTTATGAATAGGGTCGGAGACAGCCTATAGAGGAGAAAATTGATCACATTGAGAATCACATTGGCAAAGTAAGAAAGGCCCATAAAGGGGGAAGTTGAATGGCAGGCAGAAGAATTCAAATTTCATTCATTCTACTGACATCAAAAACCTACTCTGTTCCTGGCACTATTTCAGTCAAAGAGAATGCTAAAATGAAAAATACTCTTTGCCCCCATGGAGTGTGCCTGTTAACAGACAGGTAAACCTACAATTGTTAGTGGTGAATGGCACCAGATGTTAGACCATAGTCCTTGAATTTTAGCTGAGAAAGAATTCAGAGCCAAGACTCAAATACAAGCAAAAGTTTCTTTGGAAAGTCACAGAGGTAGAAGAAGTGAGCTGTGGAAGAAGTGAGCCAGCTGGGCTGTATGGGCTCAGAAAACAAGCTACAGAGTAAAAGAAGGGCCCTTGGAACTTAGAAGAAAAATGCAAAGAAAACCCATCTGGGGGAAGGAGAGGAGGAAAAGTGAGGGTGTGCTCAGGGCTTGGGAAGGAGAGCACTGAATTCTTTGAGGATTTTTACCTGCTTTCCAAAGGTGGGGATTTCAGGGGAGGATCTCAATCAAATATTCATCAACTTTTCAGGCTTGTCCCCTCAAGGTCATAGCCTGCACTGATAGTCATCACAGCTGGTCCTGATGTCAGCCATGGCGTCACCCTGGCTGGCCTTGCTGCTTTTCTGGGCCTGGAGCTGAAACACAAGTGAGGCCTAGATGTTATCTCTAGTTTGACCAAAACTCTGTCTATCATCAACAGACCCGAGGCTTCGTTCTTAAGATTTTTTGATGCAGGTCAGAACCTCATTGTACTGAGGGCTTAATGCTTAAGGAAATGGTCATGCAAGGACTTGTATGGGAGTCTTGTTTTCTAGGCCCCTACTTCCTCCTCTAAGGGGCTCTATGGCATGACTAGTAACATACCAGGGGAGGAAAAGTTAAGGGAAGATCCGAACCTCCTGATCATCGATATGAACAGTCAGGGAGACAAATCACTTGATCAATGATATGCAATTGTCCGTTGCTAGGCACCTGGGGGCTTTCAGCCCTGGTGACCTGTAATTGGCCTATCGCTTCTACTCTGCTCATGCCTGTCTGACTGCCTATTGTATCACAACCACCATAGAGTGTGATAAGCTTAGTGAGAGAGAGAACTTTGGGTTCTGTTGGGATGGGGGGCAGAGAGAAAAGTCACTTTAAGCTTTGAGTGACGTAAAGAAGGGACAGTGTCAAGGAAGTCTTCCAGAGAAGGCGACACTTAAACTGAATCTTGAGAGATTGACGAAGGGGAAAGAGGAGGGAGAAATGGAAAGGCATGGAGGCCATAGTTAGCCATGATGGATTCATGAACGAAGGAAATGCCCTGCTTAATGCTAGGTTTCCCCAGAGTCTGTTTTCAGGATTGGGGAGTTTTCCCTGGTGGCCTAAGCAAGCTACATGTAGCCAGTGGAAACCTTCCTCACCTTCCAGGAAAGAACTTTGTTTCAGGTTGTGCTTTGGGGCTTTCTTACCCTGGGTTTTGCTTTGCTTCCCCAGAAAATAACTGTCTAGACTGAGGCTTGATGTCATTCACTGCCATCTGGTGAGCCATCAGGTGCAGGGTGGACAAAAGCATTTCATACATATTTTTTTTTTAATGCTGCTAATCAGATAATGAGGTGAATGGTGAAGTATTGCTCTGGCTTCATGCCATTGCAAGGTTGTGCCATGCAACTTCATTTATAGATGTTTTGGTCCTGTCTGTGACACAACCTTTGACATAAGGCATCACGAGGCAACTCATTCAAAAGTTGCTGGTGATAGCAAATAAAGGTCTCGTGTTCACACTGGAAGCTGGGCAGACCATGAGCATGACCCTAAATAATGCCAGTTTCTTTGATCAGCAAAACAATATGTGGCTTAGGTGTTTTATCTGGAACAAATGACAGAACACAGTGGTGTAAGAGCATTGTTCTTAGACTTTGTGATCTTGGATTCATTATTTCACTTTTCTATGCCTGTGTTTCCTCATCATAAAATCAAGGAGAGGGGCAAGGTGGCTCAGATCTCTTCCAGCTTTAAA